TCAAAATAAATAAATAAATAAATAAATAAATAAATAAATAAATAAATAGGCCAGGCATGGTAGTGAACGCCTGTAGTTCCAGCTACTTGGAAGGCTGAGATAGAAGGATTGCCTGATCCCAGCAGGTTGAGGCTGGGGTGGCTGTGAGCATGCCACTGCTCTCCAGCCTGGGCGATGGAGTAAGACACCAACTAAAAATAAAAAATAAAAAAATAAAATGAATAAAACAAAGGTCTCTCAATTCACTCAATTTACTTAACTGCTGCTGGCCTAATTGGGCCTCATAATCCTCCAATTTTGGAGAAAATTTTTACACTGGATTTTAAAAGAAACTATAGGTTTCTAAAATAAAATATTTAATTCACTCCAGGACCTGAACCAACTGACCGTACTTTTTTTTTTTGATTTGGAGTCTCACTCCATCTCCCAGGCTGGAGTGCAGTAGCATTCTCACAGTCACCTCAGCATTGACCTACAGGGTTTCAGCAATCCTTCCACCTCAGCCTTCCAAGTAGCCAGAATTACAGGTGCGTGCTACCACACCTGGCTTTATTTATTTATTTATTTATTTATTTATTTACTGTAGAGACAAGGTCTGGCCAAATTGCCTAGGCTGGTCTTGAGCCTGCGGGCTCAGGCAATCCACTTGCCTCGGCATCTCAAAGTGCTGGGATTACAGGTTAAGCGACCAAGCCCAGCCTACCTATCTTAAGAGGTTCTTCTGAAGATCAAGGGGAATGACAGATAGATAAAAGAGGGTTATCTGACTGTACATCTCATGAGATCCCCAAGATTCTTCATGTCAACTAGTCCAAGGGCCTACACTTTGAGTAACCAGGCTTTTTTGCTAGCTATCAGTCGCTACTGGTATTCCTCAGAGACAGAACCTAAATAACAGTAGCAATAATACCATCACATTTAAATACCACTCTTTATTTTTTCTTTTTAGGGATAAGGTCTCACTCTGCCACCCAGGCTTGAGTGTAGTGACACAATCATAGCTCACCGCAACCTTGAACTCCTGGGTTCAAGTGATTCTTTCACCTCAGCTCCTCAAGTAGCTGGGACTACAGGTATACACTACCACACCCAGCTAATTTTTTTTTTTTTTGAGTTGGAGTCTCACTCTGTTGCCCACTCTGGAGTGCAGTGGCACATTCCCTGGTCACTGCAGCCTTGACCTGCTGGGCTCCGGCGATCCTTTCGCCTCAGCCTTCCAAGTAGCTGGAACTACTTGCGCGCACTATCATGCCCAGCTAAGTTTTCAGTTTATTGTAGAGACGAGGTCTTGCCATTTTGCTCAGGCTGGTCCCAAACTCCTGAGCTCACGTCATCCTTTCTCCTCCACTTCCCAAAGTGCTGGGATTATAGACGTGAGCCACCATGCCTGCCTGACTTCTTATACTTTAAAGTACCTATAAATCACCTGGGAATTTTGTTAAAATGCAGATTCTGATTCATTAGCTGTGGACTAGGGCCTGAGATTCTGCTGCATTTCTATCAAATTCCCAGCTGAATTTTGGTTCATGGAACACTCTTGTTGGTTCATGGAACACTCTTCAAGGCTAATCAAAGTCCTAATTTGTCTCCCTCACTTTGATCTCCTTCTGCTCTCCCAATTCATCCTTTATCTGGAAACAAGAGTGATTTTTCTAAATATGATGACAATTTAAACTCCAGAAATTTAAACTCCTGAAGTGGCACACAAGACCTTCCAAAATATGCCCGTTTTCTGACATCCATTGGTCATAATCTGAACTCTAAGAAGATCATCTGACTAAAGTCTGAACATAGCAAAAAACATAGTTCAAACCACAAAAATGATCAGTCTATATCTTGGCTGACATGAGTGACTACTGCAGCCTGATCAATCATGGCATTAGCCTCACTTCTAGTTTTCTCTCCCAATCATAAAATTACCTCCACCTCCTGGCAGAACCCTCCCTAAAATCACCTAACACTAATCTATATCCAATAAATCCCTTCTAACACCCTTTTACTGAGATGACCCTCATTTCCCCATGGTGTGCATTCTCCTTCACACGGGGTAATAAATCCAACCTGTTCAGCTATAGGTATGTTCCTGGTGGTCTTTGACTAGAAGAAGTCAAAGGACACACTGTTCATCCTACATATCTTCATAAGAACCTGTGAACACCTCTCATATCCCTTACATAACATTAGAATCTTGCTTTTATCAGCCTAACTAGCCTGAGCAGCTTAACTGGCCTGAACATAACTGATGCTCAATAATTTTGAAATATGAAAACCATGAGCTGGGGCCAGGCTCGGTGGCTCAGCCTGCATCCCAGCACTTTGGGAGGCCGAGGCAAATGGACTGACTTAGCCTGCGGGCTCAAGACCAGCCTGGGTACCTTGGTAAGACCTTGTCTCTACAATAAATCAAAAATTAGCTGGGCATGATAGCATGCGCCTATAGTTCCCACTACCAGGAAGGCTTAGGTGGAAGGATCGCTGGAGTCCAACAGGTTGACGCTGGGGTGGCCATGAGTGTGCCACTGCACTCCAACCTGGGTGACAGAGACTCCAACTCGGGGAAAAAAGAAAAAGAAAACCATGAGCCAGGCACAGTGGCTCAAGCCTGTAATCCCAGCACTTTGGGAGGTGAAGGCGAGAGGACTCCCTGAGCCTAGGGGTTCGAGACCAGCTTGGGCAAACTGGCGAGACTTCATCTCTACAATAAATGAAAAAATTAGCCAGGCCTGTTATTGCATGCCTGTAGTTCCAGCTACTTTGCAGGCTGAGACTGAAGGATCACCTGAGTCCAGCAGGTGGAGGCTGCGGTGGCCATGAGTGTTCACTGCACTCCAGCCTGGGATGCAGAGAGATCCTGACTCAAAAAAAAAACAAAAAAGATTCTTGTGAACCCCATGCTTAGTCTACTAAAGGGCAATAAGGAGGAGCCACAATTGCATATTCACTAGCATTACAAGTATAAAAAATGTACAGACAAAAAAGATTTGGGAGCCGGGCTCAGTGGCTCAGCCTGTAATCCCGTGCCTTTGAGAGGATGAGCTGAGTGGATTGCCTGAGCCGGCGGGTTCGTGACCTGCCTGAGCAACTTGGCGAGACCTCATCTCTACAATAAATCAAAAATGAGCCAGGCGTGGTAGCACGCGCCTGTAGTTCCAGCTACTTGGAAGGCTGAGGCAGAAGGATCGCCAGAGCCCAGCAGGTCGAGGCTGCGGTGGCCGGGAGCGGCCACTGCACTCCAGTCTGGGCGACAGAGTGAGACTCCAACTCAAAAAAAAAAAAAAAAGATTTGGGGTAAAACAAAAAAGGCTTAAAGTAATGTGTAAGATGATGACATTATGAGCAACATTATTTACTCTTATTTTCCAAACCCTCTGTAGTATTGTTACTTGTCTAATAATAAATTATAAATGCTTTTTTTTAACCAATGAATATAAAACCTGACCTATTAACTGGACAACACCAAGCTGAGGTTGCCGGTCAGTTTTAACAACGTAACTGAGTTAGCAGCGAGTAGTATTAGTAAAGGTTGTACATCCAGGGCTTACCAAGTGCCAGAAACGGTCTTAACTGTATTTTCATTGACGCCTAACAACAACCCTAAGAGAGGTACTATTATTATTCCAATTATAGCGACGAGGAAACGGAAGTCCGAAGACTAATTTACCCGAGGTTATACAGCAAGTAAGCGGCTAAACGAACTCTGGAGTCCCGGCTTTGAGTCCCCGAACTAGCCGTCCGGCCTCGGGAGGCTGGCCTTTTCGCCGTGGTTGGGCGGCATCCTCAACCCTCACCTGCCAGACCTGTGTAGCCCTCCCATATCCCAGACATACCAGCCACCAGCCAGCGACCGCTCACCTCCGGAGACTAAGTGTGTCTTCCGCCCGGGTCGCCGCTCTTTCCCGCCGGGTGCTTTTCCCGCATAGGTCCTTCTGCTTTTTCCTTCCGACCCCAAACGAGACGTCAGAACACTTAAGTTCCGTCAGGTTACCGAGACCCAGGAAGAGTAGCAAGGATTACCGTAGTCCGGGGAACTGAGGCTTTTGGTTCACCTGGTCCCTCAAAAGGTTCGATTCCACTCCTCCTAATCTTTTCTATTGTATGTGAGGGAGTAGAGAGAATTTAGAGAAGTTTTTTGCCCCTCCTTACTGTATCCCTTCAGGCTGCAGACTCCATCCCTGCACCTTTCATATGAGCACCCAGTTTTTGATAACGCCCCTTTGCCTCCGAAGGAACTCACCAAATACATTGCCTTTTCCATGTTTTCTCCATCTTCCTATTCCTTTTTGAAATTCTACTTGCCAGTCGGGCACAGTGGCTCACGCCTGTAATCCCAGCACTTTGGAGGCTGAAGCGAGAGGATTGCCTGAGTCCACGGGTTCGAGACCAGCCTGAGCAACTTAGGGAGACTGCGTCTCTACAATACATCACAAAATTAGCCCGGTGTGGTGGTGTGCGTCTGTAGTTCCAGCTACTTGGAAGGCTAAGGCGGAAGAATCGCCTGAACCCTGCGGGAGGAGGTTACGTGGCCGTGATTGTGCCACAGCACTCCAGCCTGGACGACAGAGTGAGACTCTGACTCAAAAAAAAAAAAAAATTCTACTTAAAAAATTCTACTCTACACTTACCTCTTGGAGCCCTCCCTTATCTCCCTCCTTCACTGACTCTTCTATTTTCTTCCTACACCTTAAATGAGAGTTTTCTTCATATCCCGGACTGCATCTTCTTTTCTAGCTTTAAATGTACCATCTACACACAACTTGATAATCTCTTTCCCTAAGTCCCAGCATACATTTCCAACTTTTTGTAGCAGTTCCAGCTGTAAGATATACCACTAGCCCCTCAAATTCTATATAACTAAAACTGAACATATCGTATTTCTTCATATTATGTCCTCTTATCGTCCCTATTTCTGTAAATACCCACATGCTTCTATGCTGGAAATTCTAGGCTATTCTTGACTCCTCTCCTTAAAACCTCCTCTCACTAACTCTAAATCCTATTTCATTCTCTTCGCTGTTTTTGATCTTTTATCTTTCCACTCCTTCTTTCCAAACTCAATGACACCTGATAGTTATTGCTCCTATTTTCTGTTCTTTTGTTTTTTAATAGTAGCCATCCTAATGGGTGTGAAGTGGTATTTCCTTGTGGTTTTGATTTGCATTTCTCTAAACATTGCTTGCTTTTTTTTGAGTTAGGTTTTCACTCTGTCATCCAGGCTGGATTGCAGATGGCACAATCATTGCTCAACACAGCCTTGACCTCCTGGAGTCGAGCAGTCCTCCCTCCACAGCCTCCCAAGTAGCTGGGACTACAGGTGTGTACCATGATGTCTGGATAATTTTTTTCTGTAGAGGCCAGGTCTCGCTGTGTTGCCCAGACTGGTCTCAAACTCCTGGGCTCAAGCAATTATCTTGCCTCGGCCTCCCAAAGAGATGGGATTACAGGCATGAGCCACTGCACCTGATCTTCATTTGCTTTTTTTTAAGTATAGGAAACCCCCTATTTTATTAACAGTGGGGAATGGGAAACTGGAAGGGAGGAAAACTGTTCAAATCAAAAAGGAAGGATATGAAATTGTCAGGCAGAAGAGAGGATGGAGGCATGGACAGAGGGAAATAAAGACAAAGGGCCAAGAGGAAATGATTATTTAGGTTAACCCAGCGATGTCTGTGGCATCTTCTCCCTTAGCATCCCAGGCAGTGATAGTGGACTCCACTAGAGCTTAACCACAGCTTTGTTCAAAACAAAATTGAAACCTACCCAAATCAGAAATGGAGACAACAAAGAACAGTCTATCTGTTTGTGAACATACGGCAGAGACTGAGCACTTTTGGGTGAGGCAGGAAGCTTGACATTTTTCAGGTATTTTTTAATTCTCATGACAGTCCTATTAAGTAGGTTCTAACATTACACCTACTTCCCAGGTAAGGAAATAGATGTTAACCAACATGCTAGTCACAAGTTTGTCACAGCTGGTGAAGTGATGGAGCTGGTATTCAAATCATGTCTGTTGTCTATCTCTAGGATACATGCTCATTATCCACAACACTGCATCATAGCTGCTCATCTGAATTAGGGAGCAGTTCCTAAAGGAAGATCATGAGCTGAGCATTGACGGATAAGGCATGTAACAGGCAGATGATAGGGAGAAAGACAATTCAGGTGAAGGAACATGCATACACCAAGACATGGAGTTATGAAATAGACTGTGCAAAAATGGAAGAGTTCTGCTTGTCAGAATGGTGATGATTTTTACTGTCTAAACTCACAGAGAGAATCAAGTCCAAGGTCCGGTACTTACCATACCACAACTCTTATGTCGTCTCATGATCTTTTAAGACAGATATTATTTCCCTCCTTCGCCCCTGAGAGAAATGAAACTCAGAGAAGTTAGATGGCCCAGCCAACAGACAAAAAGGTGGTAGAACTGGCCCCTACAAACAGGTCTGGTAAGCTCTTTGGACTGCAGGATGTGGTAAGCAGAGGGAGAGAGAAGCAATATAGCAGTTTCTCAAATATTTTTTGCTATGACACACAATAAGACATGTAATTTGTGGCCACGTGTGGTGGCTCATACTTATAATCCCAGTTACACTGAGAGAGGCCAGAGTGAGGGCTGGCCCCATAGCATTATTTTTTTGTTTTTGAGTTGGAGTCTCACTCTTGTCCGCCAGGCTGGAGTGCAGTGGCATGCTCACGGCCACTGCAGCCTCAACCTGCTGGGCTTAGGCGGTCCTTCTGCTTCAGTCTTCCAAGTAACTGGAAGTATAGACGCATACTACGCCCTGACTAGTTTTTGTGATTTATTGTAGAGACAAGGTCTAACCAAGTTGCCCGGGCTGGTCTTGAACCCCTGGGCTCAGGCAATCCTCTCGCCTCAGTCTCCCAAAGTGCTGGGATTACAGGCATGAGCCACTGCAACCGGCCCCCACAGCATTTTAAAATCTGTTCCCATTTACCAGGAAGAAGCAATTAAATGAAAGAAAACCGGGGCAACCCCTTTGGTTCTCCTCCCTCTCTGGGAGCTTTTCTGTCCTCTCAATAAATCCTGCTTTCAAAAAAAGAAAGAAAGAAGGAAAACCAAGATTTTCCATTTAATCTATACTCAACATATACAATTTAGTCATCAAACCCAGGCCTATGATGGTAGACATTACCTTGTGGTTATACAAAGCACTTTCTTAGACTCCCTTGGGCCACCTTGGTCTGGCAGTTAAGTCAGTATAACACTGCTGGGACAAACTACATTATAGGGTACACATGTTGCATGATCCTCTTTTGGTTTGTGTTTACATGTGTTCCCCAAAACGACAAGGATAATACATGCCAAACCAGTCATAGTTTTTCCAGGGTAATGAGATTAGGAGAGAAGGGGGATGAGGATAAGGGCTTCTTTTTTACTTTATACACTTCTGGATTGGCATTTCTTATTAATTTTGCACTTTAAAAAATACATTTAGGTTGGGCGCAGTGGCTCTGCCTGTATTCCCCGCATTTTAGGAGGCTGACACGAGAGGATTGCCTGAGCCCCAGGGGGGTTAGAGACCAGCTGGGGCAACTTGGTGAGACCTTGTCTCTACAATAAATCACAAAAGCTTTCTAGGCATGGTGGCGTGCGTCTGTAATTCCAGCTACTCAGAAAGCTGAGGTGAATTGCCTGAGCCCAGCAGGTCGAGACTGCGGTGGCCGTAGCGTTCCACTGCACTCCAGCTTGGGTGACAAGAGTGAGACTCCAACTCAAAAAATAAATAAATAGCTAAATAAAACTAAAAGAGCTGGGAAAGAGTGCTTGAGATATGCCCCAAACTCCCCCCAACTCTCCAAATTAAACTTTACTCAAAGGAAGCATATAGCACTTATAGGTGTCCAAAAAAATATCTGTTGAAGAAATAAGGGAAGAGCCTAGAGGAGACACTTTGGCTTCAAGTCCAGCTTGCTTTCTTCCTTTCCTTTTGACTTAACATTTTCCTCTTATTCTCCTTATTTTTCCTCTTTTTTTTTTTCTTTGAGTTGGAGTCTACTCTTGTCGCCCAGACTAAAGTGCAGTGGCATGCTCACGGCCACCGCAGCCTCGATCTGCTGGGCTTAGGCGATCCTTCTGCCTCAGCCTTCCAAGTAGCTGGAACTACAGATGAATACCACCACACCTGGCTAGTTTTTGTAATTTATTGTAGAAGCAAAGTCTCACCAAGTTGCCCAAGCTGGTCTTGAACCCCTAGGCTCAGGCAATCCTCTTGCTTCAGCCTCCCAAAGTGCTGGGATAACAGGCTGAGCCTTTGTGCCCAGTCTATTTTTCCTCTTTTAAAATAATAACACAGCCGGGCTCCGTGGCTCAGCCTGTAATCCCGCGCCTTTGGGAGGCTGAGGTGAGTGAATTGCCTGAGCTCACGGGTTCGAGACCCGCCTGGGCAGGGAGACCTCATCTCTACAATAAATCAAAAAATCAGCCGGGCGTAGTAGTGCATGCCTGTAATTCCGGCTACTTGGAAGGCTGAGGCAGAAGGATCGCCGGAGCCCAGCAGGTCGAGGCTGCGGTGACTGGGAGTGGCACTGCACTCCAGTCTGGGCGACAGAGTGAGACTCCAACTCAAAAAAAATAAATAAATAAAAAATTTAAAAAAGAAAAGAAAAGAAAAAAGGAAAAATCATCTAACCCAAGGAAGGGATATAAAAAGAAAGGAGACCAAGGAGGGGACCATGCACAAAATGCATGGTATTATGCGAAGGGGAACACTGAACTCAGGACTTTCCAAGCTGCAATCTCTCCTCTCAGTCTCAGTTCATTATTAAAAAGTGATCAGGCTCTGGTAAACCAGTCCCTACTAACTAAAGACGGAGAGAATGACTTATAAGATTTAACAACAACTTATCATGAAAAGTATATC